GCCACTGTCAGGCACTCTGACGCGCTAACCGACGTGAAGCTTGCTATATAAATGAAAGATGTTGTGGCGGTTTGTAGGACACTGTCTTGCGCAAATCGGCTGTCGCGTTACGCAGTCACCACACTTCCTGTGAAGCTGTTTGAGATGCCTCAGCAACATGATAAGATGCTACATCAAAAGGAAAGGTTATTATTGCTGCAAACTAGAGCTCTACTAACATAATATGGTATATTATCTTCATAGCAGAAGTGGAATGTGCCAAAAATCGTAGACACACAGATGGCCATTCATTCACATCTTAAATGTTTTGATATTCAGTTCTGTGTTAATCAACAGGTTTGATTGAAGTGAACATAGGATCCGGTTTCGTGCAGAATACTGCGTACGGTTGGAGTCCTGTAGCTCAGTGGTTAGAGCACTCGCCTCACAAGCGAGAGACCTGGGTTCCCGGCAGGGCGAAATGTTGGGCACTTTTCCTACTACACACGCCTGTGTTGCCTCGCAGTAAACAGGAACCCGGTTGTTAGTCGATTGGCGGTTCGTTTTTCCGGGGATAATAATCCCTTGAAAAAAAATAATAATTTGCTCACTCAACCCACGACTGTTTGCGGGGACGCTGCTGTGCGCAATCGGCTGCCGTGTTTCGCTCACAAGTTTCCAGTCAATTCACTTTACAGTGTATCCTGTGAAGCGCTTCGAGACGTCTAGACGACGTGAAAAGCGCTATATCAAATGCAAGGCTTATTATTGTCACAGTTCTCGCCTGCCTGTTCAGATGGATGTGAATAGAAATGGGAAGTTTCTTTCAGTGTCCTGGCCAACATGAAACTCATCATTCACTGCGTGGCTGTTATGAGTCATAGCTGTGCGCAAATTGGTTGCCATGTTCGCCTACTAAATACACAGTTTACACTTAGCGTTAGTACTGCAGTAGTATTAAAAACTAATATTTAGCAAATACTAAAGGAATTAGTACAGTATTTACGCTTTGCGGGGTATCCTTTGAAGGTGCCTTGAGAAATCCTGCCGACATGAAAGGTGATAACAAACGGTAAGGATTATTTACTTAAAGCAATAAAATTGGTGTAACGACGTTCTCCCGCGCAGAACATGTTTCGTTGGGTGAATAATTGAAAGGCCGTTCTGTTTATCGCTTGAAAATTGTTCTTAACTGGTGGCTGAAATATGATCCAAAGTTGACACGGGCGGAGGTGGGGGGGGGGGGGGGGGGGGGGGGGGGGGGGGGGGGGGGGGGGGGCGGAGGAAGAAAAATGATTTGTGCTCTTGTGTAAACCTTTGTCTGATTGCAGATTGGATATATTATATTACAGTGTGAAACCGGTTTACCGAACATGCAGTATTCATATCTATATGTTTATCCGTGAAACGTGGGTTAAACTTAACAGGTAATCTATCGGGAAGCAAAATGGCAACTGTTGCAAAGTTGTTTTGTAATTCCTGTTTGAAAACGACGGTGTTTTATTTCATAAACAAGGGGACCCATTCACCAACACGGGCAGCAGATCAGGTCCAGTGATAAAGGGGCCTCGGCTTACACACCACAGTACAATGCTCCCTCTCAACCACCTGCAGTTGGACTACAGTTGGGGGAGTGTTACTGCCACGATTCGCTGTTATAAAAAAACCGTCAAGGTTTGCGGCACAGACGAGAGCAACAACATCATTCTAATCTTGTTATCCCAACGTTTCGCCCACAGCGATACTTTGTGGGCGAAACGTTGGGATACCGAGATAACATAATACGGCCGATTCACTTTGCAGTGCGTTCTGCAAAGCAGGAACGTGCCGAGGTGTGCATTCGGCCACTCTACGCCCTCTTTCTTCCTCTCTCCTCCGCCCCGTCGCTCCCTCCCGTCCACACTGACGTAATGCACTTTTAACTCTCCCATTCACACTTGCAAGTGTTGTGCAACGCAGAGCATGGTGTGACTTGATTATAACCCTTGCATTTGATAAGGCGCCTTATCGCGTCTTCTAGACGTCCCAACGTGCTTCACGGAACATGCTGTAAAGCCACTTAACCAAACACTGGTGAGTGTCATCGCTGTTGCGACTGCCTCGGTTGACCGTCAACCGCAAGCGGCCTGTAACCGCCAAGGTCTCGCTCGGCAACTGAGCAACTCAAGGGTCCGCTGACCAGGGAAAAGAATAAACACACGTTTGAATCAGTTGCCCATCTCCCGTCCGCCCGCAGCCGACGGATCGATTAATAGAAGCTGAACAGGAAACTTCGGAGATATAATATATATATTCTGACAGCGAATGCAAAGAGCAGTTCATTAAAATTGGGCAACTGTATGTCACAGGAAGACGTTGCTCGATCCTTTCCAAACATCAAGGTGACAGAGAGGCGTTTCCTTCATCACAGCGACTTCTACCACTTGCAAACGTGTTGGTTTAGGCTGGAATGAGGGAGAACTAACGGCTGATCGAACCCCAACCCTCTCGTCTCCTTCAGACTGAACACTGGCATCGCTTCTTAGATCCTCTCGTTCACCCAGCCTTTTCCCCAGAAGTATATCCTGAATTATCCAGACCCGCCATCGTATCAAATCATTCTGACGTCCTCCCTGATGGGGAAGAGACGCATTGCACTGACATTAACCGGGGCTGGGGGGGTGGGGGGGGGGGGAGGGAGGTGAACAAAAAAGGTTTTTTTAAAATAAAAAGCCAAACTTGAGGGCCAGAACCTGTGCAGTGCAAAAACAACTCGAACAACTCGCGTTTATTTGGCGCTCCTCACGCAGGATAGCATCCCAGAGCGCTTAATGCGGTATTGGTGCCTCGTCCGGGGTTAGGTTCGGGGCAGTTTGACCCCACGTAGTGACCCTGTGTCAAGTCAAATACACCACTCCCCTCCCGCACACCCCCCCACCCACCCCTCCCCTTAGGAAGAAAGGTGCCGGTCTCACTCCGCAGTATTGGAACGCATTTATTTCAAAACAACGGTCAATTTGGGTTCGCAGTGCGTTTGCACAAACGGGGGACGAGATTCGCGTCTCTTAATTAAAGTTGAAAATAAAAAAAAAAGACTTTGAGTTGTTGCATTGCGTTTGGGAACCGTAACCAAGAATATCAATCCATTAAATCGATCAATCAATCATCAATCAATGGTAATGATAATAATAATCCTCGCGCTCGATGCAGCGCCTCATCGCGTCGTTCAGACGACTCAAAGCGCTTCACGGAATACACTGCAAAGGCTGTGGACTCGACGGAGCAATTTTATTTTCAAAAAGATAAGCATCAATTGAAAAATGTTTTAAAAATCAACCGATCTTGTCATCGACATACCCGGGACAACCTATAGTCCCCACCATAGCCACACGCACAGACAAACACACACACACACACACAGATATACACACAGAGACACACAGACACAGACACAGACACAGATACACACACAGACACAGACGCACACACACATAGACACAGACACACACACAAAGACACACACACACAGACAAAGACACACACACAGATACATACACACAGACACACACACAGACACACACACAGACAAAGACACAGACACACACACACACAAAGACACACACACAAAGACACAGACACACACACAGACAAAGACACACACACACAGACACAGACACACACACAGATACACACACAGACACACACAGAGACAAAGACACAGACACAGACACACACACACACAAAGACACACACAGACACAGACACACACACAGACAAAGACACACACACACACAAAGACACACAGACACAGACACCCACACACAGACAAAGACACACACACACAGACACACACACAGTTTCGGGGCTCAGCTGCTGCTCTGTAACGATGTGACTGCGCTCCGCGGCCTAAAGCGACTCATCCTCACACCGCCCCACACACTGTACCCACTGTCATATACCGTCTACACCGCCCACACACCGTATACACTGTACCCACTGTACACATCACTGTATTATTATTACCCTCTAATTGCATCAAACAGGAATCTGTGTGTACATCAACACAAACAAAAGGCTCAGTAACGGCTGTTGTCCACCGCATTAAATCCACAGCCTCTGTGCGTGTGTGTGTCTGTCTGTGTGTGTCTGTCTGTCTGTGTGTCTGTGTCTGTGTGTGTGTCTGTCTGTGTGTGTGTCTGTGTCTGTGTGTGTCTGTCTGTCTGTGTGTGTCTGTGTGTGTGTGTGTCTGTGTGTGTGTGTGTGTCTGTGTGTGTCTGTGTGTGTCTGTGTGTGTGTGTCTGTGTGTGTGTCTGTGTCTGTGTGTGTCTGTCTGTGTGTCTGTGTGTGTGTGTGACTGTGTGTGTGACTGTGTTGGGGAGAGTGGTACTGAGATGCAGAGACAACAAACCCGCGGCTCAGTCCCGGCGCTGTAGACGCTGCAATGATGGAGTCTCAGAGACCGACTCAGAGCTTCTCATCTTCCCCTCTCCCCCTCCATCACCCCCTCCCCTCTCCCCCTCCATCACCCCCTCCCCTCCCCCCCTCCATCACCCCCTCCCCTCTCCCCCTCCATCACCCCCTCCCCTCTCCCCCTCCATCACCCCCTCCCCTCTCCCCCTCCATCACCCCCTCCCCTCTCCCCCTCCCTCCCCCCCTCCCCTCTCCCCCTCCATCACCCCCTCCTCAACCTCTCCGCCTCCCCACCCCCTCTCCCTCTCCATCACCCCCTCTCCCCCCCCTCACCCCCCCCTCTCCCTTTCCATCACCCCCTCCTCTCCCCCCTCTCCCTCTCCTCTCCCTCTCCCCTTCCTCACCCCCCCACTCCCCCTCTCTCTCTCCTCTCCCTCTCCCCCCTCACCATCCCCTCCCTCTCTCCTCACCCCCATCCCCCCATCCTTCCTTCCCCTCTCGCTCTCTCTCTCTCTCACCCCCTCCATCACCCGCTCTCCTCTCTCCCATTCCTTCTTTCCCCTTTCTCTCTCCCCCCCCCCCTCCCCCCCTCTCCCCCCCCCTCCCTCTCCCCCTCTCCCCCCCACACTGACCGGGCTCCGGCGTTTCAGGCTGAGGTTCTTCCAGAGCAGGAGGTGCAGTTGGTGCAGGAACCCCATGGCGGGGGGTGGGGGGGGGGTGTGGGGCTGTGGGGGGGTTTGGGGGCTGTGGGTGGGGGCTGTGGGGGGGTTGGGGGCTGTGGGAGCTGTGGCTGTGGGGGCTGTGGGGGCTAAACCCGCTCCTCTGGGGCTGACCGCCCGGACCCCGACACCATCTCCCGGAGAGAGCGGCTCTCAGCAAAGCCCCGAACACCGGCACTGCCGCTCCCACTCCACACACCGCCCCGGGGAGGGACTGCGGACAGCCCCGCCCCCCCCACATAGCCCCGCCCCCCCGCATAGCCCCGCCCCCCCCGCATAGCCCCGCCCCCACACACATAGCCCCCCCCCCACATAGCCCCGCCCCCCGCATAGCCCCGCCCCCGCATAGCCCCCCCCCACATAGCCCCGCCCCCACACACATAGCCCCGCCCCCCACACAGCCCCGCCCCCCCACATAACCCCGCCCCCCACACAGCCCCCCCCCCACATAGCCCCGCCCCCATACACATAGCCCCGCCCCCACACGCATAGCCCCGCCCCCACACACACAGCCCCGCCCCCCACACACACAGCCCCGCCCCCACACACAGCCCCCCCACATAAACACACCCCCAACACCCCCCCACCACACTCACATACACACCCCCAACACACACACACACCACGTACACACACCCCCAACACACCCAACATACACACATCACATACAACATACACACATCACATACACACACACCCAACACCACACACACACACACCCAACACACACACACCACGTACACACACACACCACATACACACACCCCCAACACACACCACACACACACAAAACACACACACACCACATACACACACACCACATACACACCCAACATACCCAACACACACCACATACACACACACACACACCCAACACATACACACACACAGCACACACCACAAACACACACCCTCAACACACACACACACACACCACATACACACACATCTACACACACACACACACATCTAAACACACACTACATACACACATAGCCACCTACACACACTCATATACACACAGCCACCTACACACACACACCCCCAACGCACACATCTACACATACACCCCAACACACACATCTACACACACTACTTACGCACCCCAACACACACACTACATACACACACATCTAAACACACACTACATGCACATCACATACCCACCTACAAACACACACTACATACCCACCTACACACACACACACCCCAACACACACATCTACACACACTACATACACCACATACCCACCTATACACCCACACCCCACCTACACACACATCTACACACACTACATACATACACACCACACACCCACCTACACACACACACACACACGTGGTTGAGATGTCTCAAAGCGCTTCACAGGCTATACTGTAAGGTGTGTATTCTATGCGCGAACTCAATCCACTTCACAATATGAAGCCCTTTGAGAAACGTCTCAACGACGCGATAAGGCGCTATGTCAAATGCAATTATTATTATTATTATTTGTTTATATGAGCAGCCCTAATGGGACTCAGAATTCGTAGCAGAATTCGTAGCAGAAAAAAAAATGCTGCCGACAAAACACACACAAACACAGGTGCAAACAAGTTCAATTGATTTGCAATCAATTTCCTCTTTTAAACTATATATCTCACCCCTCGCTTTCCGCCCGACAGTCTGAAATATAATACAACAATAGGATGGAAATGCCATCTCCAGGAAGGTAACCGGTCAAAGAACACCGCAATGTCAGGTGTGTGTGTAAGATTTGATAGATATCCTGGAGTTCTGTTTCAGACACCTCTAGAGCCGGCAACAGGTTTTCCGGACCCATTTGCCAGGTTAATAATAATAATAATCCTGGCATTTGATACAGCGCCTTATCACGTCGTTGAGACGTCTCAAAGCGCTTCACCGAATATACTGGAAAGTAGGAAAAGAATTGGGTAGATTGCACGAGGGCTCTTTGGAAGGAAGAGGTTCAATCATCTGAACGGCTTCCTTTACATGTATTGTTTCGGGCTTGTGTGCACTGATTGCTATCTCACCGTCAACTTGAACGCTGAGTCGTTTTTCGGGCATGAAAGAGGCTATTGTCAAATGCGAGGTTTGTTAGTAATAAAAGTTCACATCACAGCAGTGCAGGTTTTAGAGTACGAAGAGTGCCGCAGCCCGGTGAGAATATCTAACTACAGCACAGTACAGTACAGCTATTTCCAGCAGTATTTCTTTATGACGGGAACGTGGACAAATGTAAACCAACTGGAATTGTAATTGCGAGAAGCTGCAGTTTCTAAAACAATTACATTTTAACGATGTTTAAACTGAACATTGTTGGATTGACTCAGCACTTTTCTGGGCAAGAACAGCGCACTCTGCCTGGACATATTTTTCTTTAATATAAAGTGCCATTGGATCTTTAACATCCACCTGAACAGGTAGATGGGATCTGGGGTTGAGCTCTCATCTGAATGACAGGATTGTCTGACAACGTGGCGCTCTCCCATCATTGCACTTGAGCGTCTACCTCGACTAAGTGCTTAAAAGTCGCAATGTGGGGGGAGGTGGTGGGGGGGGGGCTTGAACCCACAAACGAGAGTGCAATCAACACAGTTAGTCTGAAATAAATTGAATGTTGCCCTGGAAGCACTTCATCCAAAGATCCCTTGAATAATAATAATAACAATAACAATAACAATAATAATAATCCTGGCATTTGATTCAGCGTCTTACATGTGGGGAGGACGTCAAAAACACGTCACAGACAAAACTTAAAAAGGTTGAGCGATTGCGTATTTTGCGGGTGATTGCGACAGCCAGTTTGTGCAGAGCAATGTCCCACAGACAGACTTGAAGTGAACGATCAGTCGAACCCGGGAGCCGGTTAGCCGGGGGGCAGGGAGAGGCCGAGAGAAACTCCTCGCTCTTTTTTCCGAAGGCGTCCACCTGAACAGGCAGACTGGTCCCGATGCGGTGCGTGCTGCGCAGACGACTGGGCGAGGATAGGAATCGGATTCAGGCTGCGATGCCGCCTCAAACGCTCTGCCAACGCTCGCTGTTGAGACACAACACATCAACAGCGGTGACTTAAGTGAGAGCTGACTGATGCGCTCGGAAAAAGAGAATTGAATCAAAGGGTTTGAGGGGAGCACGGTAAAGGAGTAAATGGGAGAGAAAAATTCCAGGAGTCATAAATAAGTAAATTAATAACTTGTGTATAGGAAGGTGATAAAGGCGCAGAGTTACAGTTGAAGATGTATCTCGAGATTGCACCAACTATCGCATCTTGGATAGAATTTTTTTTTATTATTTGAGGTTCTGGCCACAAGCCAGAGTTACGCTACGTCTGAAGGAAGTTGTTGAACATAGAGCGGAATCATTGCCCAAGTGTTGTGTGATGAGGGTAGGAAGTCACTGGTACGGAAGAGAAACAATGGGGGAAAGCGGAAAACGATGCCTTTCAGAGATGAATCGAAGGCGATTTGAGCAGAAAGTTAGATTTAACGAGCCGCGAATGTAACGGGGGCAGAAGACCACAAGATAGCATCTTGTTCTGGAGAACGTGGTGCAAGACCCCGTCGTCAAAGGCTTTGGAGGTGCGCACGGTAATGGATCAGCGTTGTGGAGTTCCAGAGGATGTGTAGCACAAGCAGTGAAGCGGCCAACCTGAATAATCCAGATCAACCGTGGAAAATTTAAGGTGATGATTCATTCTGAGAGTTAATAATAATAATAATAATAATAATCCTTGCATTTGCTAAAGCATCTTATCAAGATGTCTCAAAGCGCTTCACTGAATATACTGTAAAGGGAATTGACTGTGTATTTTGTGGGCGAAACTTCGCAGCCAATTGCGTATTTTTATTTACTTATGTATGTATTTATTTATTTATTTGAAAGGATTATTACTCGCGGATTATGGCAGCTTCCGGGCTGACACTCCAACGGGGTGGGGGTGGGGGGGGTGAGTGGGGGGGGGGGGGGAATCTCTGTATCATCAGAGTGGCCTTCTTTCAGATGAGTCGTTAAACCAAAGTCCCAGCTACCTCTTGAGGTGGATGTTAACGATCCCAGAGCATTGCTCGAAAAAGAAAAGGGAATATTTGGCATTCACTTCATTTCTATTTGTGAGCCATTATTGTGCTCATATTAGCCGCTGTGTTTAGCTGAAAATACACAGCCACTACACGTCGCAGGAAAATCCTGTGAATCGCTTTGAGACACCTCAGCAGATTAGTTAGTATAAATACCGAAGCGAAGGAAATAAGGGACAGGTTCTCAGGTACAAGGTATCAGATCTGTTAGGCTCACGTAAGCAGGTTTGTGTCACTCCTTGTGTTTCTTTGGGTGGACTGAAATATTGACTGAATAATTAAAATGGTCTCTGTTGTCACAACGATTTTCAAACTGGACGGTTATAGAGATCCCATCGCAATGTAATAGTGCTCTGATGAACAAACTACACATTCATCATGGCTTGTCTCGACTGTAACTTGATCATTTAATATGTAACACCAGGCATAAAAGTCACCTTTACAGATAAATTAGCCAGAACGGAGACACACTCGCTCCAGTTGGTAAAGGTTCATTCTTTTCCTGTTTGTCTTCACTTGGATGCGTTGCTCATAGCTCTGTCAATGTCTTGTGCCTTAAAATTCAGGGTATTAATGCTTTAATTTTCTATCATTCACCTGAAGCTGAATTGGTCTTTTTGTCTCATTGCTGCCACCAACACCCTACCCCTTCTCCGCCTGCTTTTTAATAATAATAATCCTTGCATTTGATATAGCGCTTTTCACGTCTTCTAGACGTCTCAAAGCGCTTCGCAGAATATGATGTAAAGTGACTTGACTGTATATTTTGTGGGCGCAAAGCAGAAGGACATTTTCCTCGCAGGTTTTGTGCCTTATATTTCATGTTCACCCCTAGAAGTTTTAAATCGTTGGATAAAGTGCGCTGACAGTCTCATTGCTGTTTTCGGATGTTGCTGACTACAAATTAACCTCTGATCAAACTGATGGCAGAACCCACTGCCTTAGATGAGTTCAGATGTTTTGATAGATGAGGGTTTGAACCCATGAACTTCAGGCCATTGTGGCAAGACTTTATCCACTAAATCACTAGTGAAAGCTCTATAACTTGCTTAAATTACTTCTCTTAATGCAATGGCGAGGTTGTTTTGTTCCAGTCCCCCCTGTGGTCAAAGCTGCTCTGCAAATACTCGAGAAAAAACAAGAAGCTCTTGCATTTCTGTCGCACCTTCCGCATCAATCTCTCTCAAAGCCACTTTACAGTGATTAATGTGAAGCGAAGAGACTGCACAAGAGTTGACAGGCTACCTACCAGGTGCCCTCGTGGGATTTTATCCTGAAAAATACTTGAAGTGTGTCCATTCCCATCACTGCAAAGCGCTCCGAGACTTTACCCGACAGGAAGGGTGCAAGTTGTTGCAGCTGGAGTTATTGGCGCTGCAAATTGTTGTTGTTGTTGTTGTTGTATGATTACGATGGAGCTGGAGTCCATAATAATAATCCTTGCATTTGATACAGCCCCTGATCGCGTCTTCGAGACGTCAAACAATGCAACACAATAAACAACGAGAGATCGTCGCAGTGCAACGATGCGAGCGTATGAACACCGACTCTAGATTTCTGGCTTGTCATTGTGCGAAGCGATACAGCAGATGTCAGATGGACCGAGATGAAGGGAGGCGAGAGGGGAAAGAAGAGAAATCTTCTCTTTCTTCAAATTGCAAGGTACAGTTTGGTTTTCATACTCTTTCCTGAAATAAATGTTGCATGTTTGCACCAGACCCTCTTTGCATCTCTCCGGGTTCCGGGTCAAAGATTATCACTGGACGTGCAAAGGTGCAAAGATGGACTTGGGGGCATATTAAAAATCCTAAGCAGATTGTCCAAAGTTTCAGGTCGGCTGATGGAAGGCAGGCCAATCGGCCGGCAGGGGGCGCAGTTGTATAGAAGGCAACGGCTCAATTTTATGGCCAAAACAAAGTGACAGAACTCGATGGGGTGCAACAACAAAATGACATTTGCCTAGCGCCTTTCACGTGGGGAGGACGTCCCAAGGCGCTGTGCAAAGGCTAAGGGGTGAATCGAAGGGAGCTTTGAAGAAGTGATGAGAAATAATAACAATAATCCCCAAGCCTTGGCTCTTGCCAACCTGCGCCTAATACTTTCCAGAATCAGGTAAGCAAGGTCTATAGATTCCATTGCACGTTCCATTCCAACAACCGAGCTCTGGAATTTTCACGTGTAGTTGGGACGCACCTTGGGATGTCCTCCCGACGTGAAAGGCGCTATACAAATGTGATTTGTGTTGTATTATATATATATGCTTGGAATTCTCAGTTTGGTTTGGATAATCTTAAGCAGGGTGAAGGGTTTCCACGTGCGTCAAACACCCAGCTGACTAAAAGAGAATAATTGCTAAAACTGGTCCGTGTCTCAAAGCTCTTCCTGTTTGTTCAGCCAATGCCATGGAAGAAAAATAGCTGCCATCTGTTTTTAAACCGAATCGGAATTTTGCTTTGTATGGACGCCTTTTGTTCTCGACGTCCGACACTTCAACCGCAAACTGAATTGTAACAGAAAAGAGGGGCGAACACAACCGAACAAAGCAGCCAGCTGCAGCGCGCAGTATCCCTGAGGAGGAAATACCCAACAAGCTCTCGATTTACGTGATTTATGTAACACTTCCGAGTGTCTTTCACCCACATGGTGGGTGAAATATATTCTGCGAAGCACCTTGCGGCGTCTGATAAGGCGCTTTATCAAATGCAAGGATTATTATTATTTATTATTAGAATTTGGCAATTTTTTAAACGCAAGCTCCGAAGCTTTCGAAGTCGGTTTCCTGACGTTCTAAAAAGGACCCACTTGAGTCCGGTGTCCCAGATGTAACCACCCTTCCCTGCATCCTTCCAACATGCTCCAGTCGTTAATTACAACAGCAACAACTTGCATGTATATAGCGCTCTTCATGCGACAGTGGGGGGCGGTGGGGGGTGGGGGTTGAACTCTGGGTAATTGCTCTTTGGGTAAAGAAGATTCCCTGGTATCCGTCCTGAAATGGCAATCCATGATTGTCTGTGGGACACTCCTGTGTGCAATTGGTCACCATGTTTCGCCCACAACATATACAGCCACTTAACCATATATTCTGTGAAGCGCTTTGAGACGTCTCAAAGATGCGAGAAGGTGCTGATTCGAACGCAAGCATTATTATTATATAGCGCCTTATCACGCCTTCGAGACGTCTTCGAGAAAGCGCTTCACAGAATATTCACAGTAAAATGAATCGACTGTATATTTTGTGGGCGAAACACGGCAGCCAATTGCCCACAGCAGTGTCCCACAAACAGATATGGATTGAGTGACCAATTTACATTAAAAAAATTATTTATTACTCCCGGAAAAGCGACCCGTCAATCAAATCGAATTCCTAGGGTTACGATCTTGCGTTTTATCGGCATTAAACTGAATTTGCCAGCTGTAGCGCTTTAAAGATATTACGCGAAACATGTAGCCACTCGGTTCCGAGATGAATTAGAGAACTGCAAGGAGGGATGTCACAATTATCACATCGCATGTCACGCAGTCTCTCCTGAGAATTGGTAGGTGTGAGTTACTCTTGTGAAAGGATGCAAGTCACCTCACTTCCTGGAACAAACGTATTTGCTGAATCTGCATCACTTAACTCGAGATTGAGATAAATATCAAAACTGTATGCTGGAAAAACCAATGCTTCGAAAATGCTACCGATTCAGTGATTCCACTCAGTGGCCCCACCCAACTCTCTAGACCTTCCTCCACTGCCATCTCCTCACCAGAAGCTGTCACTTGGCCATACTTCACATCTGTTGTGAGGCTCGTGCCCAGTTAAATTGCACGTAACCGTAATAGTGGAGTCCTGAAGCTCTGTGGTTAGAGCACTCGCCTCGCAAGCAAGAGGAACTGGGTTCGACTCTCGGCCAGGGCGAAACCTTAGGCAAGTTTTCTTTCTTCACGCACCTGTTTATCCAGCAGTAAGTAGGAACCCTGTAGCTAGTCAATTGACAGATCGCTTTTCCAGAGGTAATAATCCTTTCAAAAAAAAATCAAAAACATAATAATAATTTGGTCACTCAATCCACGTCTGTTTGTGGGACACTGCTGTGTGCAATTGGCTGCCGCGTTTCGCCCACAAAATATACACTACACTTTACAGTATATTCTGCGAAGCAGTTTGAGACGTCTCCACGATGTGAAAAGGCGCTGTATCAAATGCAAGGATTATTATTATTATTCCCATAAATACTCGTCATTTTGTCCCGACTTTCATTTAAAAGATGAAAGAACAGTATAAGTGTTAAATACCTTCCATTATGCATAAAATGCATCATAAAACAGAGTACTAATCAGCTTAACAGAATCAGATGGTTAAAGTATTAGAATGACTACACCTATGTAGTTCACAGTAGCAGAGTCCGTGTATTACTTTAAAGCAAGAGGAAAATGGGGAAAGAATTCCCACACAAAATCATTCCATGATGGTATTGCTGGAATTAGATTTTTTTTAAGATGAAGTGGCTTTTCAACGCATGATATTGGTTAATATTTTACTTCTTTCGCTAATCATCGATGAAAATCAGAAGGGACCAAAAAAAAAGTCATGCAGTTCATGAAGCAACAGCCTTTGAAATACTGACATGCTTCCTTTTCCGTTTCCGCTTGTTAAATAGTTGCTTCACGCCTAGCAAGAGACTTTGAAGCCAAGAGCACTAAGAGCACAAGCGGGCAGCAGAATCTTTCACAGAGGCAGATGAAGTTCGGAAGGTTTTTTTTTGCCCTACTTCGATTGCTTCTTGGCTCAGCCAACTAACTCATGGCACTCTGCTCTGACTTTCTGCCCAAAAAATGCAAGAAGCTGACAGCGCTGTTGGTAACCGGGTGTTTTCTGTATTTAATAATCATAAACTCGAATTTCCGCAACACAGACCCTCTGATCATATTGGTGTGGCACTGGCCTTTCCGCGCCACTGTCAATCTGAGCACCAACGTGTGCCTGGATTTGTACGGGATCGGCAACTGCATCCTGACGCAGAACAAGTCTCTGTTTGAGCGGGCGGACGTGCTTGTCGTTCACCACTGGGATGTCCGAGGCAGGAATTCCGATTTACCTCAAAAGGCGAGACCTCCCCACCAGAAGTGGCTGTGGGTCAATTTGGAATCACCGTCAAACACACAAAACGTCCATCGGCTCAATGGGCTCTTCAACTGGACCATGACCTACAAGACCGATTCTGACATCTTCCTACCTTACGGAGAACTTGTGAGAAACAGCAAAACGGCCCAATTTTCCATCCCGAAGAAATCTAAACCAGTGACGTGGGTGGTCAGTAACTACCACAGGAATAACTGGCGGGCGGAATACCATGCCAGCCTGTCCAAGTACATTGAGATAGACGTATACGGAAGGGCAAATAATAAGCCGATTTCTAAGGAGATGCTGCTTCCGACAATCTCTCAATACGCGTTTTACGAGGCTTTCGAAAATTCAGTGCATAAAGACTACATCACTGAGAAGCTGTGGCGAAATGCTTACTTAGCTGGTTCTGTGCCTGTCGTATTGGGGCCACCTAGAGACAATTACGAAAAGTTTGTGCCTTCGGACTCCTTCATTCATGTGAATGACTTTGTTTCGGAAAAGGAACTGGCCAACTTTCTGACCAGTTTGTGGAAAAACCAAAGCCACTACGCGCAGTACTTCAACTGGAGAAGAAAATACTCCATCAAGATGACCACAGACTGGAAAGAGAGATTTTGTAAGATTTGCACTAAGTTTCACAGCCTTCCTCAGTCACAGATTTATTACGATTTAAATGGCTGGTTTGAAGCAGAGTGACATGACTTTGTCCGCCTTGTAAGTTTGTTTAAATAGTTTTTAAACGCTACAAGTTTCATATATATATAATATTATATTATATATATTCTCCAATAAATTGTTACTTTGCCCTAATCTTTTAAGCCTTCGTCATTTGGTTCTACTGCCTTTTTCCTCGTTGCAGTGCAGATTCTCTCTCATATATTTTTTTTCGGGGGGTTGGGGGTGGTGGGTTGGCGTGCAGGTAATTTCTGAAACTTCCTATGTGTCAGTGAAATTTAATCCTCGATTGTGTAGGCGCAAGGAAGGCGTCCCACTCTCAATCAAATTGTGGCTATCTCTGCTCGAACTGAGCGAGAGCAAAATCGGCATTGAAATGTGTCGCCAATTCCAGTCTAATCTGATCTTTTTGAGCAAGAGAGGTAGTGCTGACGTACAACTTGTATTTATATAGTACCCTTCACCCGGGGTAGTGTCCCGGAGTGCTGGCCATTGCTCTCAGAATCAATGGGGTTTTTCCCCATTTCTTTCACTTCTGTTGAGGCTGACAGAAAGAAACTAATCGTTGGTTTATGTGGGAGGAAATCACAGCACCAAAATACTAATTGTGATCCAACATTCACGCGCATACACACACGCACATGTGTCCCAACAGGTGTTTCAGGCTCGTGATCATAATAATAGTCATAATAATCCTTGCATTTGATACAGCGCCTTATCACGTCGTTGAGACGTCCCAAGATACTTCACAGAATATACTGTAAGGTGAACTGACTGTGCATTTTGTGGGCGAAACGAGACAGCCAATTGTGCACAGCAGTGTCCCACAAGCAGTCATGAAGTGAATGATCAAATTATTATTATTACTTTCTTGGGGGATGGATTATTACAATAATTCTTAAGTTTTATTATTACATCTAGCCTCGACTATGCCAACTCCCTGCTTGTCGGCCTTCCCAACTCTTCCCTCCACAAGTTGCAGATCAACCAGAACTCTGTAGCTCGTGTCCTCTCCCGCACCAGGCTCCGTGACCCCGTCACCCCCACCCGGCTTCACTGGCTCCCTGTCCCCCAAAGGATAGAGTTCAAAATCCTCGTCCTCGCTTTCAAAGCCCTCCACGGCCTTGCTCCTTCCTACCTCTGTGACCCGCTAACGCCATATCAACCTCTCCACTCAGCAGTCTCTGCTCCTAAGCGTTGGAACTCAATCCCTACCCCTCTACTTCCCTACCTCTCCCTTCACCTTGCAGGTGGTTCAAGCTAGTGATCATAACAATAATCATAATAATGATCATAATAATCCTTGCATTTGATGCAGCGCCGTATCACGTCGTTGAGACGACCCAAAACGCTCCCTACCCCCAGTTCGGGTTCAAATCCCTGACTGTCCAGTCCCTTGGGACGTCCTCCTGATATGAAAGGCGCTTGAGCCGGTGGAGTGGTGGGGGGGGGGGTGGGTGGGAGAGTGCTAAATTGGGCTGAGCTGCATTCAGAATTGATTATTTATTATAACACTAATCATTCTTTCATACAGTGCAGCCCTTTAATATCAGGAGGACATCTCTGTCAGCCCATCTGTAAAGCTGGATTTGCTGTGTATTTGTAGGTGAAACCGCAGTCAATTTTCAACAGAACAATGTCTTACAAACAGTCATGAAGCGAATGGCAAATTTTATCCAGGTCCTGTGTCAGGACCCCTACTACCCACAAATATACAGGCAATTCACTTTACAGTATAATCTCTAAAGTGCTTTGAGACGTCTAGAAGACATGAAAAGCACTATATCAAATGCAAGGATTATTATTATAACAACAAGATTACATTTGTATAGCGCCTTTCACGTCGGGAGGACGTCCCAAAGCGCTGGACAGAGTACAGCATTTCAGACCTGAGCTGGGGTCGGGGGCGGGTGGGGTGAGAAGGGAGGGGAACAGGGGTTGGCCGATGGCATGGTCGAAGAGGAGAGTCTTGAGATGAGACTTGAAGGAGGCTAAGGAGGGGGCGAGGCGGAGTGACTGGGGAATGGAATTCCAGAGGTTGGGGGCAGAGTGGCTGAAGGCTCTCCCGCCAGTGGTAGGGCAGGTGGGTCGGGGGATGAGGAGCAGCCAGAGCCGGCTGAGCAGAGGGTACAGGGGGGTTAGTAGAGGATTAGGAGGTCGTAGAGGAAAGGTGGGGCGAGGCCATGGAGGGCTTTGTAGGCGAGGACCAGGATCTTGAACTGGATCCTCTGAAGGACAGGGAGCCAATGGAGTTGGGCGAGAGTGGGGGAGATGGGGGTCACGGAGTTTGGTGCGGAAGAGAAAACGGACTGCAGAGTTCTGGATTATCTGCAGCTGTGGGGGGCGGTGTTGGGACCTTTGACGTCCACCCGAATAGGCAGACGGGACCTTGGTTTAAATGTTTCATTCCAAATGATTTATGCTTGAATAGATAAGTTGTGCTCATATAAGATAAGTTCCTGTGCTTTTTTTCCCTCCCCAACCCCAACATGAAGGTAATGGAAGCACCTAACAAGCAGAACAAGTTTAACATTGTTTTATTGCCAACACATAATCCAGTTGTACATTACTTTTTTTTAAGTTACATTCAAAGCTGATTAAATTGTACGTGGCCAACCACTCTGAACCACTTCTCTCCGGCTGCTCATTACATCCCTGTTCTGAACCAGATGGGGAACGGAGCGGGAGAAGAGAGGAAGAGAACGAAAAAAAAAGGAACAACAATAAAATCTCTAAACTAAAATAATCTGTGACTGACAGGTATTCCAGAAGGAGGAACTTGGTGGGTTTTCGCCTTCCTAGCCTAAAGGGAGGCAAAGCCACTTGTTACCCTATCCACTGAGGTTACGGATACTGGTTTCGCAACTCGTTTTGATGAGCAGAGTTTACTTTTTTTAAAAAAAGAATACAAGGAACGTAAATTACGATCCTGTGCTGACTACCAATATAGCTCATTACTTGTGTGAGTTTTTAAACTGCTCTCTTCGAGGTCAAGTACTTTCGTTTCTTCAATTGTCAACGCAAGTGGAAATGTCAAAATCATTAACTGCAGAGGCAACTCAGACTCACATGTATTGCCGTGAAATCATGCTGACTGTTTAATGTTAAAGCAACAATCAACCAACTTCTTACACAGCCAGCAACCCACAGCTCGTGTTCTGTTGAGTGAATCGGTTAAACGTGACCTTGGAGCGAGAACCTTGACTGATTTGACTGCTTCTCCGGCTGAGATTAGTTAAATCAACAGAGGGGAGATCAACAAAACACAAAACACGGCAGATGCTGGAATCTGAAACAAAAACCAGAGAGAGCCGGGAAAACTCAGCAGGTCAGGCAGTATCTACAGAGAAAGGAAAGGGAGTCGACATTTCGGGTCCATGACCTTTCGTCAGAGATGGGAGATCAAACTTGCCTGCGTAAAACTGATGCCAAATGGTGCCTGTACTCTCTAAGACAATCAGTGCAACAGAAATCCTCATATTCGTTGGTATTCGCACACTTACCATTTCATTTCTCTGCTCACTTTTCTAATGCACGTGTATGGTTAAACAACGAGATCTGAGAATGGAGTGTAAGTGTGTGTGTGAATGAGATCTGAGACACATCAGTTGTGAGGAACAGTTAACTTTTCTTTGTGCATTTATGTAGAATATAAGGAGTCCTGTAGCTCAGTGGTTAGAGCACTCGCTTTGCAAGCGAGACACCTGGGCTCAATTCCCGGCAGAGGGCGAAACCTTGGGCAAGTTTCCTTACTCCACACAGAGCCCTAATAATAATGCCTCCAAAACAAAACAATGATAAATTGGTCATTTCAATCCGCGACTGTTTGTGGGGACGCTGCTGTGTGCAATTGGCTGCCGCGTTTCGCCCACAAATATACAGTCAATTCACTTTACAGCATATCCTGTGAAGCGCTTTGTGACATTAAGAAGGAGTGAAAAGTGTTATATCAAATGCAAGAATTATTATTATTATTATAATTACGATCAGAGAAATAACCTATAATTCCTGAACAAGGAATTGTAAAGAGGGAGTGGAGCGAGTGAATGAAGTCCCATTTATACGTTAATTACAACGTTTAGAAGGTGAAAAGGGTTTCAAGACAATTCTACTGCTCACTGGCATCTTGTTAGTTTAACACCAAAACCACTCTGATACATTACCGAGAATGGTGCGAAATAAAACTGTTTAAGACATAGACACATTGGGGTAAGATTTCCGTTAAACTTTACACATTGTTCCATCAGTGATGCAGGACTATAATCACAAATTATTGAGTTAGAAGGTTGCGGTTTCGTGTGTTGCTTCCCTTGTCTTGCTCCCCCCTACCTCTGCGACCTCTTCGCCCCCTACTATTCTGCTCGCTCCCTCCGCTCAGCAAGCTCCGGCCTGCTTCACGTCCCCCGCTTTGCTCGCCCCACTATTGGCGGGCAGACCTTCTGCCACTCTGCCCCCACCCTCTGGAAGTCCATCCCGTAGTCCCTCCGCCTCGCCCCCTCGCTTGCCTCCTTGGAGACCCATCTCCCTGCTTCCCACCCCCCCAATACTGACCCCCAGCTCGTACCCGAAACTCTGACAGTTCAACGCCTTGGGCCGTCCTCCCGACATGAAAGCCACTATCCAAATGTAATTTCATCGTTGTTGTTCCACACTGGAAGATTTGGAGCTCGTGGTCGAGGCTGACTGTCACTCCACTGCATTGACAAAGGACAAATGAGACATTAAACGGAGTTTCTTTCGGTTGGATGTTAACGAATTCGTACCACGGCTCTGTCTCCTGTGTACCAGCCTACAAAATACACAGTCAATCCACTTTACAATCAATATATTTTGTGAAGCACTTTGAGACGTCTCAACAACATGAGATTATTATTATTATTATTAAGGGTTATTATCATTAACCATCAAGCCTCCACATAAGATTGATCAATTTGTGAGACGTTGCTTTGCACAAAATTGTAACCGCGATCACTACAGTCACTACACTGTCGCAGAAAACTCTATAAAGCGTTTTGAAACATTAACCCGAAAATTGATTT